ATGTGCTTGAGGTACTAAATATAGTGGACCAAAGCGTTACACTTAATCTAATACTAATAAAAATATAGGGATGTGCAAAATATAAAAAAATCACACACCTTTAACCATTTTTTTGGGGATAATTGTTAATTATATCTTTTAACCTTTTGTGAGGGGGGTATGACAAGTAGTAAGCCGATAAATTCCAAATTCAAATCCAATTTTTATTGACAAAAATATGTAGAAATTCAGTGTTTGAATGACTGGGCCAATCTTCATACCAGACATCGTGTTAATTGAATTAATTAATTATTTTGGATGAGTAAGATTTAAAGAGAATCCGACGCTTTCCACGTCCACGTCTTCTTATAGCCCTCATATTACGGTACCTCCCGATATTCGGTATTTTAATGATTTTAGCGACACTATTCACCGGAATTTTTTTGAAATTTGGTATTTTATGTTCGCAATGGATACTACAGCCTATAACAGAAAATTATCTATGCTGGTTCACTTCTTCGTATAGCCCCCATATAACATACCTCCCGATATTCGGTATTTTGATGATTTTAGCGACATTATTCACAGGAATTGTTCCAAAGTTGTTATTAAAGTTCGCAATATATACTATAGCTCAAGACAGATAATTGTCTGTGCAGGTCCACGTTTTAGTATAGCCCCCATATGATGGTACCTCCCGGTATTCGGTATTTTAATGATTTAGGCGACGTTATTCACCGGAATTGTTTCAAATTTGACATTTGAAATCGTAATGGATACTACAGCCTATGACAGAAAATTATCTGGGCAGATTCCTGTCTTCGTATAGAACCCATATAATGCTACCTCCCTATATTCGGTATTTTGATGATTTTAGCGACACTATACTCCGAAAATGTTTCAAATTTGGTATTTGAAGTTCGCAATGGGTACTACAGCCATTCACATAAAATTGTCTATGCAGGTCCACGTCTTTGTATAGCCCCCATGTAACTGTACCTCCCGATATTCGATATTTTGATGATTTTTGCTACAATATTCACCGATTTTTTTCAAGATACGCATTTGAATATTGTTACGGCTTATGACAAAAGTTGCCTATGCGGGTCCCCGTTGTCAGATAGACACGAATATAACGGCTACTACTTTTTAACGAATTTAATTTTTTGAAAATTGCAAATTCATTCTAAATAGTGGGTGATACTTAAAGTTCGGCACGGCTTACTTACGAACTTACAGTTTTTTTACTTGTTTAATGTAAATTATTTTATGTGAAAATTTTGACCATTCGTGGGGGAGGTACCAGAAGTATTGCCCAACTCCAAAATGGATCATTGTTGTGATAATTTTATTACGATCTACCAAGTTTAAGCCAGTTTAAGTGTATACTAAACTCCTCGGAAGTTATGGTGACTTTCATCCAAAGGGAAACTGACGGATGCCCCAGATCGACTCGAAATATCCTAAAACTGAGTTGGTGCAAAGAGATATAGAGTCGAAACCCGAAAAAGTTCCACATATCTTTAATTATTGCTTGAGATGCCCCTGAAAAATACTCTTAGAAGTCCTTGGACAAATATTCTTACAAGATTATTGCACGACAGGCGGTTAAGAAAACATAAAACTCAAATCCACGATTAAAATTGTGAAGCCATTGAAAAGGAACTCTTAAAAAGTCAACTTGGAACGTCATTCTAAAATAACTTGGGAAATAGATTTTTTTATTCCAGAAAGTCATATTAGAAACCTAACGATTCTAGGTAGAAAACTAAAAAAGTCCTGCACAACAGATAATAAAACCCTTGGAACTAGTACCTATACTCTAGTACCTTGTACCTATATTCTTCAAAAGTATCTGCGATTCTCAAAAAAAATATGTTTTAAAAATCCATGAATACTGTGTGAAAAGTCCTTAACAAAACACACGACACTGTGTTGGAAGTCCTTCAAAACATATGTTTAAATATACAAAATTTTTGCTCGGAGTGCCCTTCAAAATTCTTTGAAAATATGTTTTAAAAGTCCATGAATACTGCGTAACAAGTCCTTAAAAATATGTTTCTAAAAACACGATACTGTATGGAAAGTCCTTCCGAACATATGTTTAAAAATGCTAAATTTTAGCTCGAAGTGTCCTTCAAAAATACAAATAAAAACAAGTAAGCAAAGGCTACAGTCGAGCGGGGCCGACCGTTGAATACCCTACAACACTATAATAAACGATACAGTTTATATAGGCAAGATACTCGAAAGAATTCCACAAGATATTGTGACAAATTATAAAAGAAAATCGTCAGGTTTCGTTCTTTCGAATAATAGCAACTTAAACGAATTTGCTCATTTCCAATTTATTAGTAGATGTTGCACGTAAATGGTCTTCCTAGATCTGGAACCAATATTTCCCAAAGACCTATAATTTCTTAGAAGGGGCCAAAGATTAACATTTATTATTGGGTTTTGACTGAAACGCATCTATATGAGATACAGACATTTGACTATATTCGTTAACGAAATAGTCAGAAGTGCGTCTTTCCTGTATTTGTGAATTCTCGAAAAAAAGTTGGCAAACTATTTCACACATTGAATATTTTCCAAAACTGCTTGGCTTTTGCAATGTCCGGTAACCCCATTTCAAATGTGCGTGAGGATCGGGCGATAATTACGACCTGCCGACAATTTTGCAGTTTTTTGGTCCATTTCAGCCCCTAAATATATGGCGATCATCTCCAAAAAGAGTAGGCTTCTATTCTGACCCTCATCCTATCCCCAAGCAAAATTTCGTAAGGATCGGGCCATAAATGCGATCTGTATATGATATTCTGATGTCATAACTACTTAGTTTTGTTAGCTGTAGAAATATTACCAAATGTTTAATTCAAAATGAAAATATGCCAAAAATATGACAAAATTGAAAAAATATGAGAAAATTTAACAAAATCAATATTTTCATCTTTAGAGAGATATTTTTATGCGATTTTTTTAGATGTTTTTTCTTTCCTGCCAAGAGGCCATTCTGAATTAATGAGAACTGTCGAAATCAGTTCAGCCGTTCTCGACATATAAGAGATTTTTCAAGCATATCTTCTTTGATAAACATATAAATCGCACATATTTAGCGATATATCCGTTTTGTTGGATGTTAACATCAATGTAAAGATCAGAAGTAACCTTGTCATGGCTTTGTGATTTCGCTGGGATTTAAAATATTCGCGGTTTAATGAAAAATTTTGAATTTTTTCAACACAAAAGATATGGTCTATTTTACCCGCTAAATATTATCCGATGACCACCCAAATTGGTAGGCTTCTTCCCCGTCCTAAACTCTAGCTACATGCTAAATTCCGCGTCGATTGGTCTATAATTGCGACCTGTATAGCTACTGCAAAATCCGACATTTTTTCAGTATTTGGTCCATTTCAACCCCTAAACATTTGGCGATCAACTCAAAAAGAAATAGGGTTCTATTCTGGCCCAACCCCGACCTCCATTCCAAATTTCGTGAAGATCGGGCCATAATTGCGACCTGTAGAGTGATTACAAATTAACATGGACAGACGGACAGACGGACAGACGGACAGACGGACGGACGGACATACATAGCTAGATCGACTCAGCTCGGCGAGCTAGGATGATCCATATATACTTTCCTATGTGGGAAACCAATATTTCGTGGTGTTACATAATTTTTGGCCCAATCAAACTTATAATACCCCCAACACATAGTGTTGTAGGGTATAAATACAGGTTAAAAATGATCAGAGATCTTACAAAGTTATTATTTGAAAATCCACCGTTAAAAGTCCTTATATGCCTAAATTCTATGATATTAAGTTGAAATTATTCAAAGAATACTTTTTTAAAAAATAGCATAGAAATTCATTGACAATGTTCCTTAAAAATTCATTATTTTGTAGCTCAAGAAGCCTGGAAGTGATTTTCTTAGAAATTCCGTAACTGGAAAATCCTCAGAGAAACATTCTAGAAATGTTCGTGCTTATACCATGACTATTCTTATACAAATATTTTCAAAAATTTACAATCATAACTTAGAAAGCTCTAAAAATAAATATTACAAAACCCTTGACTTAAGCTTGGAAAGCCAAATAGGTAATACTTTTGTGCCACAGTGTGGTGTCAACTAGCGATATTTTTCTTATCTCTTATGAGAACCCAGCTAATTTTGTATGCAATATCTCATATTTGTAAATAAAAAAATGTCTTTATTTTTTTGCCCACTACCTTGAGTTGTTGCGTTTTGTCATTCAGCGCATATTGTGTTGCGTTCCATTGCCTTATGTTGTCATCACAGCAGCACGTTTCACATCGAAAAAGTCTGTGAGGCGAGAACGTACACAAAATACGGCAATGCAGCTAACATTCGTGAGGCGAAAAAGAAGAGAAAAACTATTTTCTTCCATAAGTCTTAGTTACGCTACGACGAAAAGATTCTAGTTTTACGCGTAATTCATCACTTCCATGCAATTTCATTTCAAATAGCAAAAAAATATACATTATATTTCTATTATGTCTTCTATGCAGAGAGAGAGAGAGAGAGAGAGAGAGGAAAAAACGAATTATATTTTCCACAAAAAAAAAGTTGACGATATTTTTTTCTTGCTTATAATTTTATGGAAGTATCAACAGAATCCAAGGTATGTATGCTTGTCACGGAAATATTGGTTGGAATTTTATTTTAATTTGCATTACTGTTTTTCTTATTCCTTTTCTTTTTCTTGCTCTCTTCTATTTTTTCCTGTTTTTTTGTAATGATGCAGAAAGTTTAATTGAATGGAAAAACTAGGGAGGAGGGTGTCTTTGTTGACATCTAATGGAAATATTATAAATAAAATATTAATTTCGTTCTCATGGTAGTAGGCAGCAAAGAAAATTAAAAAATACCTTCCTTTAGGCTTCGAAAAAAATATTACAGCCTCTTCCCACCACAAAAGTGTGGTGGTCTTATGTATTTTACCATTCCAACCAAAATGTTTATATATATTAAATATGCTTTTTTCACTTACATTGCACCCTCAACGTTATGCTGGAACTTCTGGTTTCACCTTCCATATTTGTTGCCCCACAGGCATAAGCCCCAGCACTTTCTCGTTCCAATTGTGTTAGATGCATTATCTCGGAACTTTCACCAGACATACGCATACCCTGAAAAAGAAAGCGAGAGAGCGAAAATAAGATTTAATAATGAAGAAAGTTAAAAAACGAGTAAAAAAATTGTAATAAAAAAATTAAATATCATCCACCATTTGGAACAAATTTGAAAATTTTCAAAAAAAAATAAATAAATAAATAAATAAATAAATAAATCCTTTAAAAATTCTGTTGAAAACTTAAAAAGTCTTAAATCTGTTAAAATCTTAAAAATACCGAATGTAGCCGTTAACGACGTGGACCTGGTAGACAACTTTCGTCATAAGCCATTTCAATATTCAAATGCGAAATTTGAAAAAATCTTTGAATAATGTAGCCCATATCGAATATAGGGAGGAATGATTTTATGGGGGCTATACCAAAACGTGGACCTGCACACACAATTTGTTGTCATAGGCTGTAGTATCCATATCGTACTTCAAATAACAAATTTGAAAAAATTCCGGTGAATAATGTCGCCAAAATCAAAATACCGAATATCGGAAGGTACCGTTATATGGGGGCTATAAGAAGACATGGACATGCACAAAAAATGGTCTGTCTTAGGCTGTAGTATTCATTACGAACTTCAAATACCAAATTTGAAACAATTCCGGTGAATAATGTAGCTAATATTATCAAAATACCGAATATCGGAAGGTACCGTTATATGGGGGCTATAAGAAGACGTGGACCTGCACAGACAATCTCCTGTTATAGGTGGTAGCATCTATTATAAATATTAAATACCAAAATTGTAACAATTTCGGTTATACAACGACGTGGACCTGCACAAACAATTTTCTGTCGTAGGCTGTAATATTCGTAACGAACATCAAATACCAAAGTCGAAAGAATTCCGGTGAATAATGTCGCTAAAATCATCAAAATACCGAATATCGGGAGGTACCGTTATATGGGGGCTATACCAAAACGTGGACCTACGTAGCCCATTTTCAATACCAAAAGTCCTGCAGACATAATATACATTTGAGTTAAATTTTATCAATCTACTTTAATTCGTTCGTGTTTTCCGCAGACGGATAAACGGACAGACGTACGGACATGGCTAAATCGACATAGAATTTTATGCTGATCAAAAATATATATATACTTTGTGGGGTCTAAAATTTATATTTCGAGGTGTTACAAACGGAATGACAATTTCAATATACCCTCCATACCATGGTAGATGGTATAAAACTACAGTCACATGGGCACCGTAATATTACGTTTGGCTCATCCCCCAGCGCCAGTTCTGCTTACCAAAAGTGGCCCACTGGCCCACGATATTACAACGATACATTCATACCAAGAAATGTGTGGTCGCTTCGATCCTAAGACCTCTAATCATTGGCAAATATAGCCATGGAATTTTGTGCTTTAGGGTATCACTAATTGTTATCCATTAGCTCCTAGATTATGAGTTTATACTCCCCCAAAAAGTTAAATAAAATTGTTGCTCTCTTTTGTTTCATACATGTGTCGGGTCCTCATACTTCTCTGTAAGTTATCCTAGACAGCCCCAAAAATTTCAACATGTCATTTATTTAGCTAAAAGCTCTATGCCACTTTCCCTCACTCTCTCTCTTCCAACCTCTCTTAAAAATTATAATTTGTATTACATTTGTTTATTTCTAGCAAATAGTAGTAATGAAAAAACACGAATGCACACGCACACACCCACAAAGAGCGGTGCCACCTCATCTTTGGTGACAGCGTCAATGTTTTAATTAACATTATGTTTATTTGTAAAAGTTAATCTTAAATATATAACAAAGACATTATTAAGTCAAAGTTCATACAAACAGGTATTGTTGCTGTTGCTGCTGGGGATGATGTTGGTGTTTTTGTATTTAAGGATATACAACATGATTATCAGCAGTAGCAGCAGCAACAACAACAGCAAGGACAGAAAGCATTGTAACACTAATGTGAATGCTGTTGGAATATTAAATCAGAGAGTAGGAGGGGTGGAGTTTTTTTCTTTTGCATTGGTATGGGATTGCTCTGATGATGGTGGTGTTGGCGACGCAACAGGAAAATACCATCTTAGTTAATGGAACCCGAATTAAAGTCATGTTAGAAGCGTACTTACACAATGTAAACTGGTGTGTCTGCGTTTGTCTTCGTCATCTCCTTCAGTTTCTTCTCCTTCTTATTCATTTGCTGGGTATTTAAGTCGCTATTTTGTTTTGTTTTTTTGTCAATGTGTGTGTATGTCATTCGCTGCCAGCCAACCAGACAAATAAACAATTGTTTATGTCGCACAGTAGCATTTTCTTTCATTTTCTTTTGCCGCCGCGTTAACAAGAAAAATAGGACAAAGACACTTACAACGCATTAACATTGCTTGAAGTTCTTAGCAGGAGTAGGAGCAGAGGCTGCGGCAGCAGCAGCATGGCAGGTTGACTTGTTTGCATAATTATCCCCCAAGTGAAAAGTAAATCTTATGAAGCTGCTGTCGCTTTCTTTTTGTACAATTGTATGCAACACACATAGCTCTTTATATCTGTGTATATCACCAAAAGACAGTCATTTGTTTGTGTCAACCACCCCAGCCCCCGTGCCGCTGGTGCTCCCAAAACTCCAACCCAGCCCGACCAAAAGAAACTTGTTAAGGGTAATGTTGTTTTTTTTTTTTTTTAATATTTTAATGAGTTTTTCTTGTTTGTCATTTACTTTGTTTTATTTCTTTTTTTTTTTTTTTTGGATTTACAGATTATACATTTTTTTGTCGGTGTTGTTGGTGTTCGTTCGTCGGTGTCGTCTGCGTGTTTGTTTGCAACAACAACAACCACATCGTTGGCATTATTATCATCTTCAGCATGAACATTATAAGCTTTGCCATTAGTCTCAACATTACCATTACAATAATATTAGAGAACAAGTCAAATAGGATAAAAAAAAGAAGTACCTGGAAACCACCAAATATATTCCTAATACAGGCTTTAAAGAAACCCACATTGCTATTATTGGCTTTGGGACACAGTGGTTGCTTTTGGAGAAATTTTGGATAGTAAGATGTAAGCCATAACCAGTAAAGAAAGTCCTAAAGTCGGGCGGGGCCGACTTAATGATAACCTACACCATTTTGCTAATTTAGTAGAGCTCGGCATAACAATTAAAAGTTTTTATGGGAGAATTCAATCATACACGCTAGGATTATAATTTAAAGTTCAATGGACTAAATATGCCGAAGCATTTGCATCTCTTAAATTCGGACTTGTATTGCCCATTTGGTACACAATTAATTTGAAATCGGATAAAGATATATATGGGAGCTATATCCAAATCTGAACAGATCTTGATACAATTTGGCAAAGATATTTCTGAGCTGTATTTGATATATTTCCCTGAATATCGTTGTTATGGAGTGCATATTACGGCTGCGGGTAAAAAATACAACAAATCGGATGAACAATATATATGGGAGCTATAGCTATATCTGAACCTATCTTCACCAAATTTGACATACTACCTTCTAGACTCAATTCGGTCGTAAGTGCCAAATTTCATCCCATTTGTGCAAATATTAGACGTTTGATGCACAATAAAAGGTAAATCGGGCGAAGTTATATATGGGAGCTATATCCAAATCTGAACCGATCTCGATAAAAATTAGCAAAGGTATTTCTGAGCTGCATTTGATAAATTTCCCCAAATATTGTTGTTACAGAGTGCATATTACGGCTGCGGAGGACAAAAATAAAAAATCGGATGAACAATATATATGGGAGCTATAGCTATATCTGAACCGATTTCGATCAAATTTGGCATACTTATTTTGAGGCCTAATTTGGTTGTATGTGCAAAATTCCATGCATTTCGGGCTAATATTTGGTGCACAATAAAAGGCAAATCGAACGAAGATATATATGGGAGCTATATCTAAATTTTTACCGATTATCTCCAATTTCAATAGGGTTCGTCCCTGGGCCAAACAAATGTTGTTTGGAAAATTTCATCTCAATCGGATAATAAATGCGACCTGCATTTTGTTCACAAGAATACATGGACAGACGGACGAACTGACATGCATAAATCAACTCAGAAAGTAATTCTATGCAGATCATCAAAAGGAACTATGGGTCTATCTCGCTAACTTCTCCATGTTACAAACAAATGCACAAAGACATAATACCCTAACCACCTTGTGGTGTAGGGTATAATAAATGCCGAATGTTATGAAACGATGACACAAAATCCGGGTCAACACCAGGCGGATAGATACTTTTTTTTTTCAAATGTTAGACTATAGTAAGTGCATAAAGAACCCCAAGAAACAGAATCGCATCGACGCTTGTCAGGCAGAAGAGCAAAACAAAGAACATGTTGCATTTGTTGCCCGATCATGATAAAGTTTTGCAGAAAAACATTTGTTCGCCCCAAGGACGAACCCTACTGAAATTGAACATAATGGGTCAAAATTGACATATAGCTCCCATATACATCTTCGCCCAATTTGACTTTTATTGTGCACCAAATTATTGATATTAGTCAAAATAGTATGGAATTTGACACATACAGGGTCGCCCATATTCGACAGACCCATCTGGCAACGCCATAATGACATACCGCGTTTGAAGCGTCAGCCCAAGCAGATTTTTACCATGAACCAATACACGCCACGCGAGCGCTCTGAAATAGTTGAAATTTACATTCAACAGAAGAAGTCAATTGTGAAAACTCAACGTGCTTTTAAAACATTAAAAAATGTGAGAAGTGCGCCTTCTAAGAACACCATTAAGCGTTTATACGAAAAATTTTGGACTGGTAAGACTCTTTCTAATCCGAAGAGGCCACATAAAAGTCGACCAAGGCGATCGGCCGAGAATATCGCTGCCGTACGAGCCTGTGTTGAGAGGTCCCCAAGAACATCCCAAAAACGCCGTTCTCAGCAGTTGGGCATGGCTCGGTCCACTTTACAACGGATTATTCGCATTGATTTGCATTTGTTCCCGTACAAAATTCAATTGACGCAAAGAATGTTGCCTGCGGACAAGCCTCGTCGA